CGGGGCCGCAGCGCGGACGCTCGGCCGGGGTGGACCGACCAACCCCCGGGGCTGGGCTGGGGAAGGAGGGTACCGAGCCTTAGCCTGCCGGGGGCGTGGCCGGGACCTGAACTGGACCTATTAGGGGCGTGGCCTGAGCGGAACCTGTCAGGGGCGGGGCTCCGCGTGGGGCGGGGCCTGAGCCACACTAATGAGGGGCGGGGCTCCGGCTGCTAGGGGCGGGGCCTGAGCAGTACCTATGGGGGAGGGCACCTTGAGGGGCGTGGCCTGAGCGGAACCTGTCAGGGGCGGGGATCCGCGTGGGGCGGGGCCTGAGCCACACTAATGAGGGGCGGGGCTCCGGCTGCTAGGGGCGGGGCCTGAGCAGTACCTATAGGGGAGGGCACCTTGAGGGGCGGGGTCTGAGCCTACCAGCGAGGCGGGGCCTCATCCCAGTCTGCGTCTCTACCCTCTGCTCAGGCCTTGGTGCAGGACCTGGGCACTGGGGAGCTGGAACGCTGTGGAGGGCGTGAGGCGCTGCTGTTCCGGGAAAACACATTAGCCACCAAGGCCATTGATGAGTACATGAAGCTGGTGGCCCACGACTACCTCCAGGAGACCCTGGGTGAGCTGGGCCTTTGCACCAGTCTAAGAGGCTCCTGCTCACCCGGATCGTGGTAGTGGGTGGTACTGTAGGGTGTTGGGATCTGGATCTGGGGAACAACGGGGTGGAGAGCGAGGAGCTCACCACTGCTGTTATATATGCCTGGGGAGTAAGTTGGAGATGGGGGTGTGGGGGATGGAGGTCATCAGGGCTCTGGTCTCTCTGTGTTGGCTACAGGACGAGTCGTGCGATGTCTCTGTGCCTCCACGGAGGACTGTGAAGTGGACCCCAGCAAATGCCCAGCCTCAGAGCTACCAGAGCACCAGGCCAGACTCCAAAAGAGCTGTGAGGAGGTCTTTGGAATCATCGTCCACTCCTACAAGTGAGAATCAGAGCCCTAGCGCCTGACTTCACCCCTTCTTTCAGCCAGGGTGGTATCCTGAATCTCCCCCAATGAAGGTCACCAGATAGGATGAAGGGCATCCAATTATTTGGTGCAATATTAGGGGCATAGTTATACGTCATTAAGTATTCACTGTTTGCCGAGCATCCGTGACTCCACCTGGAGGATTAAGGTGGATGGCCAATCCAGGCAGAAAAGGGGGGGAGATTCCTTCTCAATTGAGAGATGGGTGTAGTGATGTGTCTTTTACTCTAGGTACGACAAGAAGGCTAAAATAGACCAATCCGGGAAGAAAGCAAGACCCTAGCTCAAAAATAACTAGAATGCTGAGTGCTGGTGGCTCATGCCTGTCATCCTAGCTACTCAGGAGCCTGAGATCTGAGGATGGTGGTTGGAAGCCAGCTTGGGGAGGAAAGTCCAGGAGACTCTTATCTCTAATTAACCAGTAAAAACAAAAACAAAAACAGGGCTGGGAAGGTGGCTCAGTGGTAGAGCGCTTGCCTTGCATGCATGAGGCCCTGGGTTCCATTCCTTAGCACCACATAAGCAGAAAAAGCTGGAAGTGGTGCTGTGGCTCAAGTGGTAGAGTTCTAGCCTTGATCTGAAGTGCTGAGGGACAGTGCCCATGCCCAGAGTTCAGGCCCCACAACCGACAAAAAAACAAAACAAAACAAAACAAACAGAATTATGAGCTGTGGCTCAAGTGGAAAAGAGCCATCCTGAGGGAAAAAGCTAAAGGTCCTCAGTTCAAGTCCCTAGATCCTCACCAAAGATGAAAAATAAAAAATTAGGGCTGGGAAGGTGGCTCGGTGGTAGAGCGCTTGCCTTGCATGCTTGAGGCCCTGGGTTCGATTCCTCAGCACCACATAAGCAAAAAGAAAAAAGCCGGAAGTGGTGCTGTGGCTCAAGTGGTAGAGGGCTAGCCTTGAGCTGAAGAGCTGAGGGACAGCGCCCAGGCCCAGAGTTCAGGCCCCATGACCGGACCCCCCCAAAAAAAAATAAAAATAAAAAATTTAATAAAATCTCACTTCCAATTAGAACTACATCCTAAGCTCCTGACCTCTGCCTCCACGTGCCCTATGGGCCCGATTCTAAGTGTAGAGACTCCAGAAGTTACCATAATCACTACAGTATAAGCCCTGGCCCCATGGGAACCTATAGCCCCAAGCATTATATTGTTCTAGATGCCACCAATCCTAGAACCCGACCCCATGTTCAATGGGAAAAGAGCCTACACAGTTCACAAATCATTTTCTGGCACAAGCCATGCTAGATGGCACAAAACATCCTACACGTTTGACTCCTGACCTTATGACCTTTGCCACTCACTATTTGTGTGTGTGCATGTGTATGCACGTACACACGTGCACATCCATGTACCCAAGCCTGTGCCAGTCCTGGGGCTTGAACTCAGGGCCTTGAAATCTCACTTTGCTTGTTTACCCAAGGCTGATTGGTGTTCTACCCCTTGAGCCATACCTCCTCTTCTAGCTTTTATGCTGGTTAGACAAGAGTCTTCTTTTCTTTTTCTTTTCTCTTCAGCTCAAGGCTAGCACTCTACCACTTGAGCCACAGCACCACTTCCGTTTTTTTTCTTTTTGCTTATGTGGTGCTGAGGAATCGAACTCAGGGCCTCATGCATGCAAGGAAAGCGCTCTACCACTGAGCCACCTTCCCAGCCCCATCTTTTTTCTTTCTTTCTTTTTTGGTTGGTCATGGGGCTTGAACTCTGTCTGGGGTTGGGCGCTGTCCCTCAGCTCTTCAGCTCAAGGTGAGCGCTCTACCACTTGAGCCACAGCACCACTTCCAGTTTTCTAGTGGTTTATTGGAGGTGAGTCTCACGGACTTTCCTTGCCTGGGCTGGCTTTTAACCATCTGTGATCCTCAGATCTCGGCTTCCCGAGTAGCTAGGATTACAGGAAAGAGCCACCGGTGCCTGGCTTTCTTTTCGTTTTTGGTCATTCGTGGGCTTGAACTCTGAGCCTGGGCACTGTTCCTGCGCTCTTCAGCTCAAGGCAAGCACTCTACTACTTGAGCCACAGCACCACTTCTGGTTTTCTAGTGGTTTATTGCACATAAGAGTCTCCCAGACTTTCCTGCCTGGGCTGGCTTTGAACTGCGATCCTCAGATCTCCTCCTGAGTAGCTGGGATGAGCCACCAGCGCCCGGCTTCTTTTCTTTTTTTGGTCGGTCATGGGGCTTGAACTCGGGGCCTGGGCGCTGTCCCTCAGCTCTTCAGCTCAAGGCTAGTGCTCTACCACTTGAGCCACAGCTCCCCTTCTGATTTTCTGGTGGTTTATTGGTGATAATCTCACAGACTTTCCTGGCCTTAAACTGTAAATCCTCAGATCTCAGCCTCCTGAGTAGCTAGGATTTCAGGTGTGAGCCACCAGCACCTGGCAGATAAGAAGCTTTTGAGCGTGTCTACCTAGGCTGGCTTCTAACTGGGCTTCTCAGATCTCAGCCTCCTGAGTGGCCGGTGATGTGAACCACCGGTGCCCGCCTCAGTCATGATCATAGGCCCCTGGCCTCCTCCTCTCTCCACCACCTTTTCTGTCCCCAGCTGGTTCCCAGCAGAGCTGAGCGCTGTGTTCTCAGGCTGGCGAGAGGCATGCAAAGCACGAGGTTCTGACACGCTGGGCCCCAGACTGGTGTGTGCCTCCCTCTTCCTGCGACTCCTGTGTCCCGCCATCCTGGCACCCAGCCTCTTCGGCCTGACTGCAGAACATCCAGCACCTGGCCCGGCCCGAACCCTCACGCTGATTGCCAAAGTCATACAGAACCTGGCCAACCGCGCCCCGTAGGTGCCAGGAAGCCGGAGAGGAGGGCAGTGCCGGGGAGCGGGGAAGTGGACCCCAGTAGCGAGTGACTGTCCTGACTCTCCCAGCCTGGCTCCTATCCCAGATTTGGTGAGAAGGAAGCCTACATGGACTTCATGAACAGCTTCCTGGAGGACCACGGGCCCGCCATGCAGCGCTTCCTCGACCAAGTAGCTGTGGTAGATGTTGACGCGGCACCCAGTGGGTACCAGGCCAGTGGCGATCTGGCTCTCCAGCTGGCAGTCCTGCACGCCCAGCTCTGTACCATCTTCGCGGAACTCGACCAGGTGTGGCCTGAGCCCGGAACCCGCATGCAGGGGAGGGGGAGGGACTCAAGCTGGGAGCCTCCCTCTGAACCCAGAGACGTTGCCAAGCAGCCCTCCGCTTTCCGCCTCCCAGACCACCTGTGACAACCTGGAGCCACTGCCTACCATCCTGAGAGCCATCCAGGAAGGCCGGCCCGTGCCTGTGTCTGTGCCCATGCACCTGCCACCGCCTCATACCCAGGCCCAGTGCAGGTAAACTCAAGTGTCTTCCGGATTCTGATGTCAGGAGGGGCGGGAGAGGGGTCCAGGGTTGGGGGTGAAGATGGGTGATGGGAGGGGAAGGGACAGGGCATGTTAGGGTCAGTGTCGCAGAGGCTAGGGATGGAGATGTGTAAGGAGATGGGGTCTCTTTTGGAATATCACGTGATCAGAGGACAGGCAGTCATGGCAGACTTGAAGCCAGTCATATCAGATCTCTGGGGTCAGAGAGAGAGAGAGAAACAGAGGGTTTCAAAACAGGCATCGGGTTGATTTTAGATGTTTGAATGGAGTTGGTGGTCATCAAGAGTGTGTCTGGGAGCTGGGCGCCAATGGCTCACCCCTGTCATCCTAGCTCCTCAGGAGGCTGAGATCTGAGGATCACGGTTCAAAGCCAGCCCAGGCAGGAAAGTCTGTGAGACTTTGATCTCCAATAAACCACCAGAAAAGCAGAAGTGGCGCTGTGGCTCAAGTGGTAGAGCGCTCACCTTGAGCTGAAGAGCTGAGGGACAGCGCCCAGGCCCAGAGTTCAAGACCCCCCCCAAAAAAAAATGAGTGCGTGGGGGCCCAAGGTCAGACTTCCATCAGACAGAAGGACATTTCCAGGACTGGTCCTGCTCTGCCTCCAAGTGTTCACTGATTGGTCATTGTATCATAACTGTGTCAGGCTCTGACCCAACCCGGCTTCAGAAACAATTAGGCCCCACCCACCAACCTGGACCAGCCCTGCTCCCGCTCTAACCCCCACCCTTGGGATCTCCCGACCCATAATCCACCCGGAGCTAGGAGAGATTTTCTCAGTAGATTGGGGTCTGGTGTTAGGGGTAGGATCAGGTCAGGGAGCAAATTAGGGTCAGGCCAAGGGTCCGCTGAAGCCGGGCACCAGTGGGCCAAGCCTGTCATCCTAGCTAGGGAGGAGGCGGAGATCGGAGAGCTGTTCAAAGCCAGCCCGGGCAGACCGATCTGAGAGACGCTTATCTCCAATTCGCCAATTAATTAACAGAGTGGAACTGTGGCTCCAATAGCTGGCGCACTTAAGGACAGGATGAAGTCTGGGTCATGGGTGAGGGCGCAGGTGTCAAAGGTCAGGGGTAGGGTCATGTCCGGCCAGAGGTCGGTATGGGGAGGGGGGATGGTCCTCAGGGACTCGGTGAGGGTCTGATCTTCCCGGGGCCGCCCCCAGCTTCTCCGCAGGGGAGAAGCCCGGCTTCCTGGCGCCCCGAGACCTGCCCAAGCACACCCCGCTCATCTCCAAGAGCCAGTCACTGCGCAGCTTCCAGGGCGCGGGGAGCCTGGCCCGCCCCCCGCCGCGGCC